TTCCAACTTTATTTTCTATGCTGTATTAACATTAAAGTTTAAAATGAAAGAGTTGAGACTTTTCCCGGCTTTTTGTACTTTTCAAGTGCTGACATCTATGTAAACTACAATTAAATTTTAAATTTTGAACAATTAGTCACATCTAGTGCTTTCCCCTTGTAGATAAGATTTAACAACACGCGGTCAAAAGCAAAGAGTAAAGCAAGTGCTTTCCTGTTTTCAATTTAATCCTTTTCTCTCGTGGATCACAATTAATTAAGCAGTAAATTTTTATAACTAAATTTAGCTGCAATGACGAAACATCTGTTATAAGAAACAATGAAGAGATTGTTTTTCAATTAAAGCCTTCATATTACATTAGTTAAATAATTTAAACAGTGATTTCTATAATCAAATATAGCTGTAATGGCTGAACCATGTGCTGTGTTTTGGGATGTTCAAAATGTTAATGTGCCGAAAGGAAAATCAGTTGATTTCATTGTGGACCTGGTTCGATCAGCTATTATAAAACCTTACAATTTAGATGAAATCTTTTTCTTTTGTGTTTGTGATTTTCGTAAATTATCTTCCAATATTGGCCATTCATTGACGAATCTGGATTTTCTAGCTTATGATGGATTTAAGGATTCAGCTGATAACAAAATTATAGATTTAATGCGAAAATTTGTAAAATTTGCTGGACAAGATTGTACAATTATATTGTTAAGTGGTGATGGCGATTATCATGGTACTTTAAGGGATCTAAAGAAGCTTCATAATGTATCGATTCATCTTATTGGATTAGCTGATTCATTCTCATCTAAACTGGTTCAAATAGCTGACAATTCATTCATATTAAATAATGGTCTATTGAAGCCAGTTAAATCAACTGGTTCACCATCGTATTTCATATCAATATTGAATCAATATTCTGCAGTTAACTTCAATGAATTGGCGAATGAATTGAATGCTCTCGCCATTGGCAGTATTGAAAACAGTGCCATCCTTTGTGATAATCTAATTTGTATTGGATTTCCGACTATGTGGAATGCTGAGCAAGCTATCAAACAATTACATGGTTTCGTGGACGCTTTTTAAAGGCTGAATTGATAGTCAATTCAACTTTAAATGAAATATTAAAATTTATCAAACCTAATGCGGATATTCAGACTAAAAGCAATAGCGAAGTGAAACAATTAACATTCATCAAGATGAGCAATTCTTATGGAGCTGATAATATTAAAATGATCAAGTTTGGTACCGCTTGTAATGTACAATCAGGCATTCAATGTATTTTATCAAGTGAATCTTTTCTTTGGATTGTCTTCTCATATGAATCTGATGCACAAAAGTTCCTGCCAAAAGTTAAAATAATGTATCCAGATGCAGTTATTTCTGAACTACCAATTGATTTACTATCAAAATGTCCTAAAAACTCATACACTGTTGAATCATGTGAAGAAATGGTCGCAAACAGAGTGCCTTCTAGTGTAGCCAGCCTTGATGTTCTTGATGATACGGATTGGAATATATTCTTTCGATATAATCCTGATTTTATTGTTCCTGTGTTAAATTACGAACCAACCAAATGGTCACTACTTTATAATCTGTTCGAGAAACTATACGATCTGGGAGCAAAAAAGGTTATATTTGATGGAAATTTTTATTGTGCTCATTTCGAATCTGATTCTGCTTATCGAGATGCTTTCGAAAGAATACGATCACGTTATTTAGAGCCTTTAGAATTCGTTCCCTTATCCGAGATTCGCAACAAACAAAGATTTAAAGAGAAAATGGATCAATATAAACATGATATTCCTTGGTGTTTAAATGAACAGCTTGGCTTATGTTGTCTTTATTTAGATATAAAATCTTCTTTGCATGACCATTTTATGGAAATCAGTAAAAATATTTTAGGAGATCGTGAATGTATTTTCATCAAATCAACTCAAGGAAGAATTTGTATTGGTTTTCCTGATGGAGTTATTCGTAAATCTAAAGAAATACGTGAATTTTTAGAAAGTTTCAAGATACCAAATGGATTCCCAATTGCTAAACCTTCAAATAAACTTCTGAAGTCCATCAGCTTCCGAGATTTAGCTGGTGATGCTTATGATTTAGCATTTCTTTCGAGTCAATTAGAAGATTCGAAGCCAATCACAAGAACACAAATCATGAAACGAATAAGACTGCAACGAATGCAAGAACAAGAATGCAATGAAACGATTTCCCAGTTTATAGTTTTTGGAAAATTCTGTGATCGATGGGATTCAGCTTTATTATCACTTGAACAAGTTGTGAAAATTTTTGTAAAACTTAGCAAAGTTATTCCACTGGCTGTCGCAGCAACGTATAATATGGTAAATTTAATGTATAATTCATGGCATGAAGCACACGCTGCTCAACACTTCATCAATAGCTTTCCACCCGATGAAATTCCCTATTTTAGGAAGTTTGAAGGCACAAGCCATGTCCAACAGTCATCATATTCACAAATCTCTAACTCCCTGTATTATATCATCAACGACAAACGGAAGGTTCTCGAGAAGATTGTACAAAACAAAAGTCTAGTGGATAAACTAGATTCAAATTTATCTACAGTTCAATCGACGACAGATGTATTAGATGAAGGAATGATAAAGAAACTACAATATATATTTGTTATAACAGTCAATTCTGATTTTAAGTTTACATCTGGAATGATCTCAATGATCAAAGTGAATTTGATTCAAATGGATTGTCTAGCTTGCATTGAATTTGAAGATAAAATTTGGGTTGCATTTGATGATTTAAAGAAAGGAAACAAAGCAAAAGCTAATATTAACAAGATTAAGTTCATATTGTTACACGAAAAAGATGAAGATGATTTTGAAGTTGGAGTTGTTATGGAGTCCATCCAAAAAAGTCCGCCAATAGTTACTAAAATGCTCGCAAATAAATTGATGGATCCAAAAACGAGCCCTAGGAATATTCATTGGAAATCTGACCCTTTTCCACTTGGACACTTCAATTATAGTTATCGAAAAGCAGTTGGAATGTCGACCAGTCGTTATTATTCTTTAATAAATGCATAAACAATATTAGAATTATTTTGAATAAAATAAATTTTGTTTAATTTTATTCGGATTATTACTCAGACAGGGAGAGATTCACCTCATGAAAGTTTTTCACCTTATGGAACATCAACGAGAGAAGGTATTTCGCGCTGAAACATAAATTGATTTACTTAGTTGGTATAATGGTCGTCCGGATTACACATACGTCGACTTATGAGCGTCCATCACTAGCAAACTCGTTGACCTGAATACACTTGACTACCTCAAACTACACAATAATGTAAAATCACAACTAAATAATAAAAATTTGTCAATTTTTGTTAGGTTAGCCTTCGACAGTCTTTTCGCTCCAAATTCTTTCTATTTTATGTAACTTTTCCTTCACCAATCTTAAACTCTCAATTCGACATCAAATAACTTGCTCATTTAGGAAACCTTCATTGTTTTTTATGAAAAAGCAATTATAATGGAATTTACTGACAATTAATAAATATAATCAAAAAAGCAGTTTGAATATGAATCAATGAATATGGCTAGTTAGATGATTCAGCCTGAGTCTTCCAATTTATACTTCCAAGACGGAGACAATAGTACTATTTTAGACGATCGATTTATGAGAAGTTTACCTCCTTATGGAACACCATTAAGCTATCAGTAAATTGTAACTACGAACGTCTTTGCATCGAGAGGAGGTACTATTTCTGGAATAAACTTAAATCCAATTCTAATCAAAATCTGAATTATATAATAAAATTGAATTGGATGGGTCAATATTGAATATTTTCCCTTACTAACGTCTGCAACTTTCAAAATCGTTGACCTGAATAATAATGTAATAATAATGTACAAACAATAATGTAATACCAGTAATGTACAATTAGATGGTAAAAATGAAAAAACAAAAGCTAGAGTTGGAAAAAATCTTTCCGCTAAAGTCCACTAAACTGATTTTGTGGGTTTGATTAATTTTATAACATTATTTGCTTCTTTTTGTAAGGCTGCTTTTTAGTAAAAAGTTTTTACCCTGACTTTTTATACATTGAAAGAGTTGAGACTTTTCCCGGCTTTTTGTACTTTTTAAAGTGCTGGCATCTATGTGAATTATAACTAAATTTTAAATTTTGAACAATTAGTCACATCAAGTTCATCCGCCTTGTAGATGTAAAGAAACATGTGTTATAAAAAGTAATTTAGAGTTTGTTTTTCAATTAAAGTCTCCTTCTTTAATTAGTCAAATTAATTAAGCAGTGAATTTTTGTAATCAGATATATTAATAGCTACAATGACTAAACCTTGTGCTGTGTTTTGGGATATTCAAAATATCGATTTACCTAAAGAACAAACAGTTGATTCTATTGTGAGCCTTATTCGATCAGCTATAATTCAACCTTACAATTTGAATGAAATCTTTTTCTTTTGTGTTTATGATGCTCATAAATCACCTGCAAATTTTGACCATTCATTGACAAATCTGGATTTTCTATCTTACAATGGAATCAAAGATTCAGCGGATATGAAAATTATAGATTTAATGCGAAAATTTGTTAAAGTTGCTGTACAAGATTGTACAATTATATTATTAAGTGGTGATGGCGATTATTATGGTACTTTGATTGAATTAAAGAAGCTTCATGATGTAACCATTCATGTTATTAGATTATCTGCTTCATGTTCACCTAACCTGGATCAAATAGCTGACTACACGTTCATGCTGGATAATGGTGAATTGAAGCCCGTCAAAGCCACTGCTAATCCAACATATTTCATATCAATATTGAATCAATATTCTGTAAACAACTTCAATCAATTGGCGAATGAATTGAATGCTCTAGCCGTTGGGAGTATTGAAAACAGTGCCATTCTTTGCGGTAATTTAATTTGCATTGGATTTCCTACTTTGTGGAATGCTGCGCAAGCTGCCGAACAGTTAAATGGATCACAGTTTCATGAACACTCTTTAAAAGTTGAATTGGTAGTAGACTCGCCTTTAACAGAAATATTAAAGTGTATAAAGCCTAATGTTGATATGCAGGCTAAGAGCAATGAGGAAGTGAAACAATTAACATTCATCAAGATGAACAACTCTAATGGAGCTGATATTATCAAAATGATCAAGTTTTGTATCGCTTGTAATGTACAATCAGGCAGTCAATGTATTTTGTCAAGTGAATCTTTTCTTTGGATTGTCTTCTCATACGAATCTGATGCACAAAAGTTTTTGCCAAAAGTTAAAATAATGTATCCAGATGCAGTTATTTCTGAACTACCAACTGATTTACTATCAAAATGTTCCAAAAGCTTATACACTATTGAAACATGTGAAGAAATTGTTACAAATGGAGCGCCTACTAGTGTAGCCAGCCTTGATGTTCGTGATGATACTGATGGGAATATATTCTTTCGATATAATGCTGATTTTATTGTTCCTGTGTTAAATTACGAACCAACCAAATGGTCACTACTTTATAATCTGTTTGAGAAACTATACGATTTGGGTGCGAAAAAGGTTATATTTGATGGAAATTTTTATTGTGCTCATTTTGACTCTATGTCTGCTTATCAAGAAGCTTTTGGAAGAATACGCTCACATTATTTAGAACCTTTAGAATTCGTTCCCTCATCTGAGATTCCCAGCAAAAAAGATGTTAAAGAGAAAATGCATAAATATAAACATGGTACCCCTTGGTGTTTAAATGAACAGCTTGACTTAAATTGTATTTATTTGCAAATTAAATCTCATTTGCATGACCATTTCATGGATATCGCCAAAAATATTCTAGGAAATCGTGAATGTATCTTCATCAAATCAATTACGTCGCGATGCGGTAATTATAATTACGATAAAATTTGGATTGGTTTTCCTGATGAAACTATCCTTGATAAATCTAAAGAAATAGTTCGTGGATTTTCAGAAGGTCTCAAGCAATCAAGAGATATTTTTGTGTGTAAACCTTCAAAGGAACTTCTGGAGTCAATCACTTTCCGAGATTTAGCTGGTGATGCTTATGATTTAGCATTTCTTTCGAGTCAACTAGATTTAAAGCCAATCAAAAGACCAAACATCATAGAACGAATAAGGCTGCAACGAATGCAAGAACAAGAATGTAATGAAACGCTTTTCTACTTTTGTTTGGGTGGACAATTCTATGATCGAGGGGATTTTAAATTATTATCACTTGAACAAATCGTTAAAATTTTTGCAAAACTTAGCAAAGTTATTCCATTAGCTGCCAAAGGATCGCATGATCAAATCACTCTAATATATAATTCATGGTATGAAGCACATGCTGCTCACCATTTCATCGCTAACTTACCAAAAACTGAGATTCCCTATTTCCGAAAGTTTGATGGCACAAGCTCTGTCTCACAGTTAACAGGTTCATGCACCTCTGAGTATTATATCATCAACGACAAACGAAAGGTTCTCGAAAAGATTGTACAAAACAAAAGTCTGGTTGATAAACTAGATTCAAATTCATCTAAATTTCAATCGACGTCAGATATTGATGTATTAGATGAAGAAATGATAAAGAAACTACAATATTCATTCGTTATAACAACTGATTCTGAATTCAAATTCACATCTGGAATGATCTCAATAATCAAAATGAATTTATTAAGAATGAACTGTCCAGCTTGCATTGAATTTGAAGATAAGATTTGGGTTGCTGTTGATGATTTAGAGAAAGGAAAAAAAGCAAAAGCTGAAATTGAAAAGTTCAAGTTCAAGTTATTACACGAAAATGATGAAGAAGATTTTCAAGTCGGAGTTGTAATGGAGTCCATCCAAGAAAGTCCACCAAAAGTTACTAAAATGTTGGCTAATAAATTGATGAAGCCAAAAACAAGCGTTAAGAATGTATACTTGACTTCTGATGCTTTTCCACTTGGACACTTCAATTATAGTTACAGAAAAGCAGTTGGAATGTCCGCCAGCCGTTATTATTGTCTATTCAATACATAAATCATATTAGAATTATATTGAATAAAGTAAATTTTGTTTAATTTTATGGATCATTAATCTATGGGAGAGATTCAGTTTATGAAATTCTCCACCTTATGAGACACCATTAGTTTTAAAAATATAAATTCAATTCGAATCAAAATTTGAATTATAAAATTGATTTAGGCACATTCTTAGATGGTACAATGGTTGTCTGAATTTTCCTCTATGAATAACTATGGCTAGTGAACTCGTTGGTCTAAATACACTAACTAACTCAAACTATACAAGTATTAGCACAATTAGATGATAAAAATGTATCAATTTTGTTTGGTTAACCTTTGAAAGTCACATTAAACCAAACTCATACCATTTTATGTAAATTTTCATTCACCAACCTTATTCTTTCAATTCGACATTTTAAGCCGACAAAAATACAACCCAAGTGGGTACAACTTAACTGGAACCTCTACTGTAACTGAAATGAAGAAGTTTAGACTTTTCCCAATTGCTCATACTTTTTAAGTGCAGGCATCTATGGGAACTATAATACAATTAATTATACAATTAAATTTTACATTTTGTACAATTAGTCAATTCCAGTGCTTTCCCTTTTTAGATAAGATGGGAAGAAACATCTGTTATAAGAAGCAATGACGAGGTTGTTTTTCAATCAATGCCTTCTTCTTTCATAAGTCAAATTAATTAAGCAGTGAATTTTATTATCAAATACAGCTACAATGGCTAAACCTTGTGCTGTGTTTTGGGATATTCAAAATATCAATGTACCATTAGGACAATCAGTTAATTCCATTGTGGGCCTGATTCGATCAACTATAATTAAACCTCACAATTTAAATGAAATATTTTTCTTCTGTGTTTGTGAGCATGAATTATCATCAAATGTTGGCCAGTCATTAACAGCTCTGGGTGTTGATATTATTCAAAGTTATAATGGAGAAGAGCCATCAGTTGATATTAAAATAATAGATTTAATGCGAAAATTTGTTAAAGTTGCTGGACAAGATTGTACAATTATATTTTTAAGTGATTATGCTGATTGTACCAGTACTCTGAGTGATGATGCTAATTATTACCGCACTTTCAGTGATCTAAAGAAACTTCATAATGTATCGATTCATCTTATTGGATTAGCCGATTCATGTTCACCTAAACTGGATCAAATAGCTGACTACACATTCATGTTTAATGATGGTGTATTAAAGCCGATTAAATCAACTGGTTCACCAAAGTATTTCATTTCAATCGAAAACTATCCTCTTTCAATTTTCACCAATCAAGTGATGAATGAATTGAATGCTAAGGCCATTGGAAGTATTGAAAACAGTACAATCTTTTGCGGTAATTTAATTTGCATTGGATTTCCTACTTTATGGAATGCTGAAAAGACCATCGAACAGCTAAACGAATCTCGATACCATGAAAACTTTTTAAAAGTTGAATTGATGGTAGACTCGCCTTTAACAGAAATATTAAAGTGTGTAAAGCCTAATGTTGATATGCAGGCTAAGAGCAATGAGGAAGTGAAACAATTGACATTCATCAAAATTAACAAATCTAATCAAGTCGAGGATAGCAAAATGATTAAGTTTTGTATCGCTTGTACAGTACAATCAGGCAGTCAATGTATTTTATCAAGGAAACCTTTTCTTTGGATTGTCTTTTCATTCAAATCTGATGCACAAGATTGTCTTTCAAAGGTTCAAATAATGTATCCACATGCAGCCATATCTGATCCACCGGTTGACTTGAATTTAAAATGCTTCGACAACTTATACTTCGTTGGCTCATGCCAAGAAATGGTCACAAATGGATTACCTTTCAACGTTGTCAGCCCTTATGGTTTAGATGATACTGATTGGAATATATTTTTTCACTGTAATTCTGATTTTATTGCTCCTATGGTATATTACGAGCCAACAAAATGGTCACATCTTTATAATCTGTTCGAGAAACTTTACGATTTGGGAGCAAAAAAGGTTATATTTGATGGAAATCTTTATTGTGTCAATTTCGACTCTGCTTCTGCTCATCAACAAGCCTTTGAAAAAATACACTCATGTTATTTAGAACCTTTGGAACCCGAAAGAGCACCAGAAATACACAAACAGAGAGTGACAAAGAGAATGAATCGCTATTCTGGAATTCCTTGGTGCTTAACGCAAGAACTTGGCTTATCTTGTCTCGTGATAAAAATTGAATCTCAGTTTCATGACCATTTTATAGAGATCAGCAAAAGTGTTTTAGGGAATCGTGAATGCATCTTCATTAAATCAACTCCAGGAGAGATTTGGATTGGTTTTTCTGATGAACTTATCTGTAAAGATTCTGAAAAAACAGTAAACGGATTTTTAGCAAGACTCAAGCAATCAAGTAATGTTTCAATTGCTAAACCATCAAACGAACTTCTGGAGTCTATCAATTTCCAAGATTTAGCTGGTGATGCTTATGATTTAGCATTTCTTTCGAGTCAATTGAAAAGTTTCAAACCAATCACAAGACCAAACATCATTGAACGAATAAGGATGCAACGAATGCAAGAACATGATGGATCGGTTTTCTCTATTATTGCTAGTGGAAAATTTCATACTGGGCATATTTTACCTGGACTAGTGTACGACAAAATCTTCAAAATTTTTGTAAAGCTTAGCAAAGTTATTCCACTTGCTGGCACAACATCGTGGGATAAAGTCACTTTAATATATAATTCATGGCATGAAGCACACGCTGCTCGCCATTACATTAATAAGTGGAAAACTGCTGAAGTTCCCTATTTTGCGGAGTTTCATGGAGCAAGTCATTTGGAACAGAAACAGTTAGCATGTTCCAACTTTTCTGAGTATTGTATCATCAACGACAAACGAAAGGTTCTCGAAAAAATTGTACAAAACAAAAGTCTGGTGGATAAACTAGATTCAAATTCATCCACAGCTCAATCAACATCAGAAATTGGTGTATTAGATGAAGAAATGAAAATGAAACTACAATATTTATTTGCTATAACAACCAATTCTGAATTTGAACTCACATCTGGTATGATCTCAATAATCAAAATGCATTTGGTATCGATGAACTGTTTAGCTTGCATTGAATTTGAAGATAAAATTTGGGTTGCAGTTGAGGATTTAGAGAAAGGAAAAAAAGCAAAAGCTCAAATTGAAAAGATAAAGTTCAAAATGTTGAATGAATATGAAGATGATTTTAATGTTGGAGTTGTAATGGAATCCATCCAAAAAAGTCAACCAAAAGTTACAAAAATGTTAGCAAATAAATTGATGAATCCAAAAAAGAGCTTTAGGAATATGTATTTAGATTCTGATGTTTGTCCACTTGGACACTTCAATTATAGCTACAGAAAAGCAGCTGGAATGTCTACCAGTCGATATTGTCAGTTAAATGGGTCGTCTAAATGAGTTTAATTGTTTATTTGAACGAACACTTTCGATATTTTAATATAACAAAATAATACTTGTAATTAACTCTGAAAATTAAAATGAATTAAATTAAAACTTACAGGGGAAGTAACTTTGCAGATCGAAACGAAAGTGGGTTTAATAGATTCGCTGTGTCAGAAACTCGTGCACAGGAATTTACAATGAAAAAGGCTCGATATCCTGTAATTCCTCGGTGTTTAAATGAACAGCTTGTATTGTCTAGTGATAAAAATTGAATCTCAGTTGCATGACCATTTTATGGAAATCGGCAAAAGTAGTTTAGGAAATGTATTTGTAATGTATTTTCATCAAATTTATCAAGAGAGATTTATTAGAGATTTATTAGCGCTCGAACAAATAGTTAAAATTTTTGTAAAACTTAGAAAAGTTATTCCACTCGCTGCCACTGCATCACGTAATTCAATCAATTTAATATATAATTCATGGAATGAAGCACACTCTGCTCACCATTTCATCAATAACTTGCCACCACCTGAAATTCCTTATTTGAGGAAGTTTGGAGGAGCATGTTTTATCGAACTTATAGAAACTGGTAACTGTTCCAACAACTCTGATTATTATATCCTTACATTATATCACGCCAAACGGAAGGTTCTCGAGAAGATTGTACATAACAAAAGTCTGATTGATCAATTAGATTCATCTACAGTTCAAACGACGACAGATATTGATGCATCAGATGAAGAAATGAAAATGAAACTACAATATACAGTATATTCGCTATAACAACCAATTCTGGATTTAAATTCACATCTGGTATGATCTCAATAATCAAATTGAATTTGGTACGAATGGACAGTCTAGTTTGCATTGAATTTGAAGATAAAATTTGGGTTAGAGAAAGGAAACGAGGATGAAGACCACATTAAGCTCAAATTACTAGATGAATACGAAGTTGATTTTGAAGTTGCAGTTGTAATGGAGTCCATCCAAAAAAGTCCACCAAAAGTTACAAAAATGCTGGAAAATAAATTGATGAATCCAAAAACAAGCGTTAATAATGTATACCGGTACTTGAATTATGATGCTTATCCACTTGGACACTTCAACTATAGTTAAAGAAAAGCAATTTGAATGTCGACCAGCCGATATTGTCGATTAAATGGAATAATGTAATAGCACAATTAGATGGTAAGAATGTGTCAGTTTTGTATATACATAAACTATCTCTAAATGTTATCTATTTATTAACAGAATAAATTCAGTTTCTTCAAATATACAGCGGGATGCAGTCATTTCTGAGCCACTTCTGCATATTCATCAATCAAGGTCAGTCGAACTTTTAATTCGAATTCTGAAAACGTCAGCATTAAGTATACAATTATTGATGAAGTCGAGCCAATAAGGAGTTGTCACAAAAGATGAACATTCTGTTTCTGAAACAAATCAAAAACGGAAAGTTGTTTTACGAGCGAAATAAAGGTTTATGTTCAATGATTACAGAATGTGAACTAATTTCATAGAGCAGGACAAAATCATTCCCCTTAATCCACTGAACTGATTTTATTTTGTCTATCGATTGGATCGATGTTAACATCATTTTGTCTCCTTTTGTAACGTTGCTTTTCACACCAAGTTTCTTAATACTTAATTAACATTATTGTTTACTGAAGGAGTTGAGACTTTTCCCGAGTGATTTTACTTTTTAAGTGCTGGCATCTATATGAACTACAATTAAATTTTGTGCAATTGGTCAAATCTAATGACCGGTGAATAAGATACGAAACACCTGTTTTATGAAGCAATGGAGAGGTTTTTCATCAATTAAAAGCTTTCTTCTTTGATCAGTCAAATTAATTAAACAGTGAATTTTTATAATCAGATATATTAATAGCTACAATGATTAAACCTTGCGCTGTGTTTTGGGATATTCAAAATATCGATGTACCAAAAGGACAAACAGTTGATTCCATTGTGGACCTGATTCGCTCAACTGTAATTAAACCTTACAATTTGTATGAAATCTCTTTCTTTTGTGTTTATGATGCTCATAAATCACCTGCAAATTTTGACCATTCATTGACAAATCTGGATTTTCTAACTTACAATGGAGTTAAGGATTCAGCGGATATGAAAATTATAGATTTAATGCGAAAATTTGTTAAAGTTGCTGGACAAGATTGTACAATTATACTGTTGAGTGGTGATGGCGATTATTATGGTACATTGATCGAATTAAAGAAGCTTCATGATGTATCCATTCATGTGATTAAATTATCTGCTTCATGTTCACCTAAACTTGATCAAATATCTGACTACACGTTCATGTTGGCTAATGGTGAATTGAAGCCCGTCAAAGCAACTGCTAATCCAACATATTTCATATCAATATTGAATCAATATTCTGTAAACAACTTCAATGAATTGGCGAATGAATTGAATGCTCTAGCCGTTGGGAGTATTGGAAACAGTGCCATTCTTTGCGGTAATTTAATTTGCATAGGATTTCCTACTTTGGGGAATGCTGAGCAAGCCATCGAACAGTTAAATGAATCGCAGTTTCATGAACAATCCTCGAAGGTTGAATTTGATAGTCAACTCAGATTTAAATGAAATATTAAACTGTATAAAGGCTAATGTGGATATGCAGACTAAAAGCAATGAGGAAGTGAAACAATTAACATTCATCAAGATGAACAACTCTAATGGAGCTGATATTATCAAAATGATCAAGTTTTGTATCGCTTGTAATGTACAATCAGGCAGTCAATGTATTTTATCAAGTGAATCTTTTCTTTGGATTGTCTTCTCATACGAATCTGATGCACAAAAGTTTTTGCCAAAAGTTAAAATAATGTATCCAGATGCAGTTATTTCTGAACTACCAACTGACTTACTATCAAAATGTCCCAAAAGCTTATACACTATTGAATCATGTGAAGAAATTGTTACAAATGGAGCGCGTTTTAGTGTTCGTGAGGATACTGATTGGAATATATTCTTTCGATTGAATCCTGATTTTACTGCTCCTTTGCAATATTGCGAACCAACAAAATGGTCACTACTTTACAATCTGTTGGAGAAACTATACGATTTGGGAGCAAAAAAGGTTATATTTGATGGAAATCTTTACTGTGTTCATTTCGAGTCTATGTTTGCTTATCAAGAAGCTTTTGAAAGAATACGCTCACATTATTTAGAACCTTTAGAATTCGTTTCCGCATCTGAGATTCACACCAAACAAGAAGTTAAAGATAAAATGAAGCGATATAATAATGGAATTCCTTGGTGTTTAACTCAACAGCTTGACTTATCTTGTATTCTGTTAAGAATTGAATCTAGTTTACATGACCATTTTAAGGAAATCAGCAAAAATATTTTAGGAAATCGTGAATGTATATTCATTAAATAAACCTACGTAGGACTTTACATTGGTTTTCCTGATGAAATTGTCCGTAGCAAATCTATGAAAATAGTATACAAATTTATGGCAAGTCTTAAGCAATCAAGTGGTGTCAGCTATCCTGAAGCTACAAACGCACTTTTGGAGTCCATCAATTGCCGAGATTTAGTTGGTGATGCTTATGATTTAGCATTTCTTTCGAGTCAACTAGAAGATACGAAGCCAATCACAAGACCAAACATCATAGAACGAATAAGGCAGCAACGAATGCAACAACAAGAATACAATGAAACGGTTTTCCAGTTTACAGTTTTTGGAAAATTCTTTGATCGATGGGATTCAAATTTATTATCGCTTGAACAAGTCGTGAAAATTTTTGTAAAACTTAGCAAAGTTATTCCACTCGCTGTCAGTGCATTTTGTGATTCAATCGTTTTAATGTTTAATTCATGGCATGAAGCACATGCTGCTCACCATTTCATCAGAAAGCTGATGAAGTTCCCTATTTTGAGAAGTTTGATGGCACAAGTTCTGTCCAACAGTCAAGATATTCCAACATAGCTGAGTATTATATCATCAACGACCAACGAAAGGTCCTCGAGAAGATTGTACAAAACCAAAATCAAGTGGATAAACTAGATTGAAATTCATCTAAATTTCAATCGACGTCAGATATTGATGTATTAGGTGAAGAAATGATAAAAAAACTAGAATATATGTTCGTTATAACAACCAATTCGGATTTTAAGTTTACATCTGGAATGATGTCAATAATCAAAATGAATTTGGTAGAACAAGATTGTCCAGTTTGCATTGAATTTGAAGATGAAATTTGGGTTGCAGTTGATGATTTAGAGAAAGGAAACAAAGCAAAAGGTGAAATCGAAAAGATAAAGTTCAAATTGCTACACGAAAAGGATGATGATTTTGAAGTCGGAGTTTTAATGGAGCCCATCCTTGAAAGTCCACCAAAAGTTACTAAAATGTTGGCTAATAAATTGATGAAGCCAAAAACAAACGTAACGAATGTATACTTGACTTCTGATGCTTTTCCACTTGGACACTTCAACTATAGTTACAGAAAAGCAGTTGGAATGTCCACCAGCCGATATTATTCTCTATTAAATGTATGAATCACATTAGAATTATATTCAATAGAATAAGTTTTGTTAAATTTTATTACTCTATTATTTTTGTTACTCACACAGGGAAATATTTAGTTCATGAAAGTTTTCGCCTTATGGAACATCATTAAGTCTCAACATCGTGAGAAAGTATTCCGCAAATAAACATGAAATTCGATTCGAATCAAAATCTGAATTATAAAATTGATTTATTTAAATGGCATACCTGGCGTCCGAATTGAATATTTTCCCTTATGAACGTCTATGACTACCCAACTCGTTGACCGGAATACAATTGACTGCCTCAAACTACACAATAAAGGAAAAGCACAGTTAAATAATAAAAGTGTCAATTTTTGTTATATTACCTTTTAAAGTCTTGTCTATCCATTTTATGTAAATTTTCATGCATTAATCTTAAAATTATCGATATCAAATCTCCAAGTTTCCTGAAGGAGCAAGCTTTGCATTTTTAATATGAACAAGCAATTAGAATAGAATGTACTGACAAGTTATAAAGCAAATCAAAAAAGCAGTTGGAACAACAATCAATGAATATGGCAGGTTAGATAATTCAGCTGGAATCGTCAAGTTTATACTTGCAAGACGGAGACAATAGTACTAGTTTAGTCGATTGATCATTCTATTCAATTCATTTTGCCATTATTCAATATTACAATAGGTTAAAAAATTTTGAACCATACATCGATGTTATGTTTTTTATCTTTTGATAATTCATTGTCACAATATTATGCTACAAACCTTTACCGTCAAGAGATTTAAGATTCTAGTTGTTTCTATCAATTTAATTCAATTTATACAATAAAATCTTTGAAAATTAAGCTGAATTTTTTGTATAGTAGAAAGCAAAATCGAAAATTGACCGAACCTAACAGCACTACAGACCATATTTTGCCAATAATCAGGTTTACTCATTATTAGGTGGTTGCCATGGTCATATTTAAAATATCAAGAATTGATTCAGTGATAGTGCAAGTTAGCGTCTTTACTGCACCCGCTAAATATTCAATTAGGTTTCAATTCATGCCCTTTTACATTTCATTTCAAAATGAGAAATTCATAATTCAAAATGGAACTTCCATTCAGCCATTTTCAAATTGACCTCACTTTAGTTGTAGGTAACATAAAACAATAGAGATGGCATTAATAATTGAAGAGCAAGAGTTAAATAATATGACGCAATTATTATTATTATTTCAATATATTACAGTCAATACGCCAAAAGTTATACGTGATAAAATTGTGCAAATAAAAGTGCCCACCCTTGTATTTTATTTTACTTAATCACATATGATGATAATGAAAATTCACTGATTGAATTCCAACCTTTTAGTAGCCAATCTACGGTTAAAAACATCAGTTATCAACTTTCTTTTAATTAATGTGTTAATAGCTCAATCATTGTGCGAAAAATCTATTCATTGTTGCAGAAGTTAATGTCCAAATCATACAATTAAGTTTAATTTGCATTGTATTAATATATTCATTTCTTGATCAACTTCCAGAATTAACTGCAATACATACTATTGTTATAATGATGGCTAAACCTTGTGCTGTGTTTTGGGACATTGAAAACATCGGTGTGCCAAAAGGACAATCAGTTGCTTCTATCATCAATCAGATTCGGTCAACTATAATTAAACCTTACAATTTAAATGAAATCTTTTTCTTTTGTATCTGTGATGTTCATAGATTACCTGCAAACGTTGGACATTCATTAATAGCTCTGGATGTTGATATTGTCCAAGCGTATAATGGAGTTAAAAATTCAGCTGACATTGTAATAATGGATTTGATGCGAAAATTTGTTAAATTTTCAGGACAAGATTGTACAATTATATTGTTGAGTGGTGATGCTGATTATTATGGTACTTTGAGTGATCTAAAGAAGCTTCATAATGTATCCATTCATCTTATTAGACGCGTTAATTCCTGGTCACCTAAACTTGATGAAATATCTGATTACACATTCATTTTGAATGATGGTGTATTAAAGTTGATTAAATCAACTGGTGCACCAAAATATTTCATATCAGTCAATAGTTATTCTCTGATAGCTAACAGTAATCAAGTTATGAATGAATTGAATGACATCGCCCATGGAAGTATTGAAAATAGTGCCATCCTCTACGGTAATTTAATTTGTATTGGGTTTCCTTCTTTGAGTCTTGCTGAAAAGGCCATCGAACAGCTAAATGGATGTCAATATCATGAAAAATTTTTAAAGGCTGAACTGATAAATGATTCACCTTTAACTGATATTTTAAAAAGCATCAAGATTGAAAAGAGTAAGTGTACTAAAACTAATAAATGTTGTGAACTTAAACAGTTGACATTCATCAAGATGAGCAATTCTAGTAAACCCGATGATAGCAAAATTATAAAATTTTGTATCGCTTGTGCTGCAGAATCAGGTAGTCAGTGTATTTTATCCAGTAAATCCTTTTTTTGGATTGTCTTCTCATGCAAAGTTGATGCACAAGATTGTCTTTTAAAAGTCCAAATTTTATATCCAGATGCAGTCATTTCTGAGCCACCTTCAGATCTGACTTTACCAAGTTTAGATAATCCTTACGCTGTCAAGTTTTTTGACGAACAAACTTTCGTATCTGTAGCTAAAAAAGTAGACATTACAAGTAATACTGCTCTTTGTCCACGGTGTGACTTGCCTTTACCAGGTTCAGATAATAATTACTCCGTTAAACCTTGTGATCAGGTCGTCAATGCCTTGAATAATATTCCAAAGATAGATGAAAAAGCACAGGAAACGATAGTCCGAAATACTGAAGTTGAAACTCCTTTGAAAGCGTTAAAAATAAAGGCACTGGATGCATATTCAGTAAGTCAAGTTAATCAAATATTTAACATCAAGTCTGAAAAAAATAATATTAAGAATACGATCATTGATGCAGCCAAATCATCTGAATCAAGAAGTGTCATAAAGCACGAGTTACCCGTTTCTTCATCAGTCTCACAAGTGAAATCCAATTTTAAAATGTTTTTTCACTGTGAATCTCCTGTTAACACGAATCTTTCAACTAAATGGTCTTTACTTTATAATCTGTTTGAGAAATCATACGATTTAGGAGCTAAAAAAGTCATTTTCGATAGAAATATATTCTGTTTGCACTTCGATTCCAAAAAAAGTTATCAACAAATGCTTGACAAGAAGGATTCACTTGATTTGCGAGGTTTAAGAATCTTAAATGTTGATTCACTTGAACAGCAAATTACGAAAAAAATGATTTTTTATCCTTCTAGCAATCCTTGGTGTTTGAGTCAAGAGCTTGACTTACATTGCATTTTAATTAAATTAGCTGATGAATTTCACTCAAACTTTATTGATGAAAGCAAAGGCTTTTTAGGGAATCGTGAATGCATTTTCATCAAATCGCTCTCAGAAGAGATCTGGATAGGTTTTCCTGATGCAGTTATTTGTGAAGATTCATGTAGACATGTACTGAGGTTATTGCAGTATCCATACAAATCTGTTGAAAAGGCTAAGCCTTCGAAAGAGCTTTTGGAATCAATTGTTCTTGACGATTTGGTTGGAGATGCTTATGATTTAGCATTTCTTTCAAATGAATTTCATTTAGGTCAAGAGTTGAATGAGAAGTCACAAATACTTCAGATCATGGATTCGTGCCTTGAACCGGATAAGAGATTGAGTTACGTGCAAGTCGAAGGTGGATTTATGCGCTGGCCTGGTTGGTCTCAGTTGAACCTTTCCCAAATAATCAAACTCCTGATCAAGTTTGCCAAAGTTATACCCATTGCTGGAATAGCATCAATGAGGCAGGTTGATTTCATTTTCAATTCATGGGTTGAAGCAAACACAGCATGTCATTTCATCAATAATTTAAGATATGATGAAGTCTGTTATTGGCAATCGCTACCCAGAGCTGGAGAAATGGAGAAACCAGCTAATGAATGGTTCACGACATCTGAGTATTATATCATTAATGATCAACGAAAGGTACTTGAGAAAATTATTCAAAACAAAAATGAATTCAATGAAATTAACGAAACCTCGACAATGGTCAGTCCAGCTCAAGATGACAAATCTTTGTTTAATATTTATGCTTCCGACAGAGTCATCATGAAGAATCTACAATATTTACTCGTGATTTCACCCGAAACTGGATCAAAATTTACTCCTTCTATGATCTCAATAATCAAAATGAATTTGGTACAAATGGACTGTCCAACTTGTATTGAATTCGAAGATAAAATTTGGGTTGGGGTTGATAATTTAAAGAAAGGAAACAAATTAAAGGTTAGAATTGGTAAGTTAAAGTTCAAATTAGTACATGAGAAGGACAAACATGATATAACTATTGGAGTTGAAGTAGAAGAACGAATGAGTTCTATGGACGGTGTTCCTTTAAGTGTGGCCTTAATGATCTCTGAAAGGATTTCAAGGGAAAAACAAGTTAATGATGAAAAGCCAAGTGCGGTTAATGGCTATATTCACTCGTATGTCCCTTTAGGACACTTTAATTATTGTTACAGAGAAGCAGCGGGAATGACAATCGAAGAATACTGTCATTTAAACTCAACTTTTAAAAGCAATCTTTCAAACTCTGAATGAATAAATGTTTTTTGACGAATCCTTCATGTTACTTCGGGTCCAAGCGTTATTTTAACATCATTGATGAGCCAGTAATTCATAAAATTAACAATAGCAATCAACTAGAAAGATTCGACTAGAAATATTTCAAGTGTTACAGCAAAAATACACTTGTTAGAAACTTATTTAATGGTGAAAAAAGATACAACTTTTATCGATTTTGATTCCTAAAAATTGGATCATATCAAATTTTGATCTATCATATTAATATTTTAAGACACAGGTTAGACTCAGGCCTGTCTTCTGTAAAACTGCCATTCTTAGACTATTCTTCAGCTATTCGCGTATTGTAAATACTGTGGTTAGATCACAATAAATTTATCGATATTTCCATTTATAAATAGCATGAAAAAAAGCTACATTTCGATTCGAAAATATAATGTACATTTTCATCTTCAACTGATAAGATTTCGCAGAAATGATGCCTCAGTGCATTTACACTTGCAGTTAGCATAGTTCAATGTACATGACTCACCCATAGCTACAGACTGTATCTATCATAATTGTAACCAGATGATTAGATGATACGATAAATTTATTTTTCAATTAATGCCTCTTCATTGAACCCAGTAAAGCTGATTGAATAAGAACAAGTATTGAATCTTTATGTATCAAGTATTTTATGCTAAAATGGCTAAACCTTGTGCTGTGTTTTGGGATATTCAAAATGTTGGGATACCAAGAGGACAATCAGCTAATTCAATCGTTAATCTGATTCGATCAACTATAATTAAACCTCACAATTTAAATGAAATATCTTTCTTTTGTGTTTGTGATGTTAATAAATTACCTGCAAATGTTGGCAATTCGTTGATAGCTCTGGACGTTGATATTGTTCAAGCTTACAATAAATTTAAGGATTCAGCTGACATTAAAATATTGGATTTAATGAGAAAATTCGTTAAACATGCTGGACAAGATTGTACAATTATATTATTAAGTGGTGATGCTGATTATTATGGAACTTTGAGTGATCTGAAGAAGCTTCATAATGTATCAATTCATCTGGTTAGACTAGCGCATTCATTTTCACCTAAACTGGATCAAATAGCTGACTACGCATTTATGTTGAATGATGGTGTTTTAAAGCCGATAAAATCAACTGGTGTACCAATGTACTTCATATCAGTCAAAAACTATCCTCTAACTATGGACATCAAGTTTGTTATGGATACTTTGAATAGTCAGATTGCTGAAAGTATCCAAAAGAGTGCGATTTTATTTGATGATTTAATCTGTATTGGATTTCCTACTTTATGGAATGCTGAAAAAGCCATTGAACAATTAAATGGGTCACGTTTTCATGGACACTTTTTAAAGGCTGAATTGTTATTAGACTCGTCTCTAACTGAAATATTAAAATGTATAAAGCCTAATAAGACTATGAAGATGAAAAACAATAAGGAAGTAAAACGATTGACATTCATCAAGATGAGCATTTCGATGGAAACCGATAATAGAAAAATTATCAAGTTTTGTATCGCTTGTACTAAACAATCAGGCAGTCAATGTATATTATCAAGGAAACCTTTTCTTTGGATTGTCTTTTCATTCAAATCTGATGCACAAGATTGTCTTTCAAAAGTGCAAATAATGTATCCAGATGCAATCATTGCTGATCCACCGGTTGATTTGACATCAAAATACCACGAAAACTTATACACTGTTGAATCTTGTGAACAAAAAGTCACAAATGAAGCAATTTCTCAAGCAGATAACGCAGCTGAACCAAAACCAAAAAAGGATATACAAGCAAGTTCACAAAACCAAAGCTCTAGTAACTGTCATTATGCTAACATCGGTCCGAGTACTGATATTAAACCGAGAGCTGCAAAGGAATCAGCAACCTTAAAAAACACAATGAATTCAGAACCAAGAATAGTTTCCGACACTAATTTTTGCGATAATAATGATTGGAAGATATTCTTTCGTTGTGATAATTATTTTGTTTCTCATGTGCTGCGATATCAACCAACCAAATGGTCGCTACTTTATGATCTGTTTGAGAAACTATACGATTTGGGAGCAAAAAAGGTTATGTTTGATGGAAATGTTTATTGTGCTCATTTCGACTCTGTTTCTGCCTATGATCATGCTTTTACAGAAAAGCGATCACGATTTCTAAAACCTTTAGAATCCATAAACGCAGAGGGTCTCACTAAAAAATTTACTGCGAATATGAATCGATATGTGCATGAGATTCCTTGGTGTTTAAACAGTGAACTTGACATACACTGTCTTGTGGTAAAAGTTAATGAACATATTCACATCGAGTTGAAGGAAATGTGCAAAAAGATTTTAGGGAATCGTGAATGTATTTTCATCAAACCAGTTCTAGACGAGTTTTGGATTGGTTTTCCTGATGAACTAATCTGTAAAAATTCAAAGAAAACAGTACTTAGATTTTTAGCTGATCTCAAGTACCTCAATGATGTTTCAATGGCTAAGCCTTCCAATGCACTTTTGGAATCTGTCAATTTACATGATTTAGTTGGCGATGCTTATGATCTAGCATTTCTTTCGGCCCAGTTAGAAAGTACGAAGCCAATCGCTAAACCACAAATCATAGAACGAATAAGTTGCTTACGAACGGAAGAACAAGAGTGTAATGCAACGGTTTTCCACATAACTATCGGTGCAAATTTTCGTAATTGGATGTCTTGGGTTCAATTATCACTCGAACAGATCGTTAAAATGATAGTATATTTTAGTAAAGTTATTCCACTCGCTGCCACAGCATCGTATGATGAAGCCACATTGATATTCAATTCATGGTATGAAGCACACGTTGCTCATCATTTCATCAACAACTTAACACTCGCTGAAGTTCCCTACTTTAGAGAAATTCATAGAGCAAGGGAAGTCCAACAACAGCAGTTACCATGTGCCAGCATCTTCAAGTATTATATCATTAACGACAAACGAAAAGTTCTCGACAAAATCATACAAAACAGAAGTCTGGTGGATAGACTACATTTAAATTCATCGACAAATAAATCGACACCAAATATCGACTTATTAGATGGAGAAATCACAAAGAAACTACAATATTTATACACAATAACAACCAAATCTGATTTCAAGCTGACATCTGGAATGATCTCAATAATAAAAATGAATTTGGTACAAATGGACTGTCCAGTTTGTATTGAATTTCAAGATGAAATTTGGGTTGCAGCTGATGATTTGGAGAAAGGAAACAAAGCAAAAGCTAGAATTGACCAGATTAAGTTCAAAATGTTACATGAAAAGGATGAAGATGATTTTGAAGTCGGAGTTACAATGCAATTAGCCCCGAGTAGTCCAACAGAAGCTGCTAAAATGTTGGCAAATAAGTTGATGAATCCAACAGAAGCACCTTCATCGAAAGTGAATTCCATCCCTAGTGTTGTTCCATTAGGACACTTCAATTATAATTACAGAAGAGCAGTTGGAATGCCAATCAGCAAATATTGTGAGTTACATGTAACAGCTGGACCTTGAAGACGCCAAACTCACATTTACGAAAGCTTTACTCAAGGAACTACAGAATTTTTTCAAGCTTTGAATATCAAGTTGGAAAATTGCTTCTGTAATTAAATGATACAAAATTATCATTTACCTTGAACCTATCTATTTGGTTGAATCAGAATAACCTTAACACTACAACTGATTAGTGATTGTATGCTGAGCTAATTAGTTAATTTTATTTTATTAATTTTATAATTTTGTAATAAAAAATTGAAACAAATGTAAGAAATATAAAAATTATTTATTACTATTGTCAGTATTTCCTCATATTCCATATACATATATGTATAATGACCTGTCTGATATTATACACTCCTGCCCATAATTATAGATACACTTATTTTTTTCATTTATTAGGAGAAATATTAATGTTAGGGTAAATCTGATTATTGCAATTAATTTTGGCTGAGATAAGGAAAAAAATGGTATGTTTAAATTTCTGGTAAGATTACTCATTGATTAGATAATCATAAAATATTCAAAAGTACGCGCGCTAAAATTATAAATACAGTTCAAAAAATTCAATTTAATAATGAGTTTGAGCTCCATTCAATTTAACAACTTCGAATATTCGATCATTCATGCTTCGAATAAGGGTTTGCAATAATTCTGGGTCTAAATTATACCATGCATTTTGAATCGCGTTCCATAATTCCGTAGCATTATTGTATTGTACATTCGCAGGATAAACTTGCCTAACCAAAGTTGCTGGCAAGATTGTACAATTATATTGTTAAGTGGTGATGCTGATTATTATGGTACTTTGAGTGATCTGAAGAAGCTTCACAATGTATCAATTCATCTTATTAGATTAGCTAATTCCTGGTCACCTAAACTCGATCAAATATCGGACTACATCTTCATTTTAAATAATGGTGTATTAAAGCCGATCAAATCAACTGGCTCATCACAGTATTTCATATCAGTCGAAAACTATCCGCCTTCAATTAACATCAGCCAAGTGATGTATGAATTGAATGCTCAGGCCATTGGAAGTATTAGAAACAGTGCCATCCTTCACAGCAATTCAATTTGTATTGGATTTCCTACTTTATTCAACGCTGAATGTGCCATCAAAAAATTAAATAGATCTCAATATCATAGACACTTTTTAAAGGTTGAATTAATAAATGATTCGCCATTGACCAAGATATTAAAATATTTAAAGCCACAAACCAAAG